AAGTACAAGACATAAGTATGGCCCTTCCCTTGGGGGGCCCTATTAGGGAGCAGAGGGGACACGTAAGAAAATTGCCAAAACTTCAATTCATCCCATTTCCACTGACGGGCTGCCCAGCCACCGGGGACACAATGGAACAACACAGCCCTCTGCGCTCAAGAAGCTTTCAAAGGCAGTAGGTGAAGCAGATCTTCACCAAATAGCCCCTCAAATATATAATTACCAACTGTGATGAGAGTAAGAGGAGGAAGCACAGGGTGCTATGAAAGCTTATCATGGGGGACCTTGATTTAGTGGCGATGGGAGGGTCAGAGAAAGATCTGAAGGAGTTTCATAAGAGGTGAAGGTGGGGGGGAGTCCAGGTGGAAGACACAGTACGTGCAAAGGCCCTGAGATGGGAACGGGAGGAGCACTCCTGAGGCCAGTGTGGCTGAGACCCAGTGGGTGGAAGGAATGGGTCTCCTCTGTGGCTGGGGAGGGGGCAGAGCCCGCAGGGTCTGGTGGGCCCTGCTGGGAGCCAGTGAAGGGTTGCAGGGGAGGGGCGGTCAGAGTGGGTGTCCATTCTGGGAAGAGCACTGAAGGGGCAGATGGAAGCAGGTTGGCACAGTGGTGGCTGGTATAAGGGAGGTGGTGGTGGGAATGCAGAAAAGGGGACGGAGTGAGAACTGCAGGGGAGATAAATGACTAGTGTTGGATTTGCCTCGGGGGAGGTGGCAAGAGGGGTCCTAGTGTGACCAGCTCTGTGAATGAGGAGGGTCTGATTAAAGCTGACTTGAGGGGCCTGGGGCAGGCCTTCCGATGGAGCAAATCTCCCCTGGGCTGTGGAATGGGTTGCAGCCCCCCCTGGTGGACAGAAAGGAGGAAGACAGTCTCTATAGCTGAACCCCGGAGGCGCAAAACTGTGTGCTTGGGGAGCCCACAGTGAAATGAAACTAACGTTTGTTGAGTCCTGGCCATGTACCACGTCTATTCCAAGTGTTTTACTTCATCATCTCACGTGACCCCCACAACAACCCTACGAGGTCGGTGCTGCTGGGGTCCAGCCCCAGCAGGTCCAGGGGTCCCCAAAGGTGTGGACGGAGTCGGCGAAGAAGGAATGACACGGAGACAGCCTTCAGTTGATCAACAGCCTAGTCAGGACCTCTAGCCAGGATCTCCAGCCAAAGTTCTGGTTAGGAACTCCAGCCAAGCTCTGGTTAGGATCTGATCAGGATCTGATGTTTATTGTCTTGTTACATCCATATTTATACCAGCCGATTTTAATCCTGTCAATTTCTATTACAAAGGTTAGGGCGTTTCTTATCTCCATTCCAGGGAGTAAAGATTATGTAGCTTAACTACCCGCCTGGCACTTAATTAAGGGGTTGTATCCCCTCCCTAACCTCAGGGAAAAATCCCCACCTGGGGAAACAACCTTTCTCAGAGAGGTGACCTTGGTTAAAACACATGGCACTAAGGAGAGCAAACATATTAAGAACAATATGCTATATATGCCAGGTCCCTTGAAACATATGCTGTGCAGATGTTTCTTTCCTGCAGCGACTGTGTCAAGCAGCAAGGATGGACCAGCTTCCGGCAAATTCCCCCTTTTTTATTTTTTAAATGATAGCGCAAGCAAATCAGTGGCCATCTCAGATTGGGCTGTTTAAGCCTCGGAAGAAGACTGGCAAGCAATGACAATAAGCATAGCTATAAACATAGTGGATGAAGCGCACAAGGAGCCCCGTTCCTTAGGAGGTTGCCGGCCTCTTCAGTCAAGGGATTTCAGCTGTCCTCAAGTTGTTGGTTTGGTTGTCCTTCTTGATCTGGCTAGTGGGCGGTGTCATTGGCGACGGGCTTCCCAAAGCGTCAGCGAGTTGAAGGGCTGCATCAAAGGGTCCATCAGGGCCGTGCTTGATGGTGGTGTCGGTGTCCAAGGAGGAGTAAGCTGTGTCCTCTGGGTCAGCTGTTATAGAGGATGGAGGGTAGTAGAGAGAAAAAGAAAAGAAAGCAAAAGAACTACAAGGCATAGAAGTGTTTAGAAAAAAGAAGGAGAAGAAAGGGAAGAAGGCAGCATCCTGACACAGCCCTTTCCTTCATCTGCCCCTTTCCCTGTGGTCCAAGGTAGAAATGGGAAACAAGTCCTGTTGCAGTGAGAAGGCAGCTGCTGTCAGCCAGTCTCTGTCTTTACCTGGGTCCTGATCTGAGCTGGGCCAAGTCTCTTTCTGTTATCTGGGTCCTGATCTGAGCTGGGCGTGGGAAGCGGGAAGCAGCCATGGGGGCAGGAGACCTCCCTCAGAAGGGGCAAGTGTTCAAGCCCCTGAATAGTTGGAGGGGGGTGAGGATCTGTGCCCCACCTTTGTTGACCCCCAAGTTCTCTCCTGCCGGCCCCTCTGCGACTGTGCCTGTCTTAGGTTGTTCCTCCCCGAGGAATCTTACCCGTCTTTGACTAACCAGCCATCCTCCGGGGCCAAGCAGGGTGATGTGAGGTTCAGTTCTGTCTCCTTGGTAGCCTACACCCTCGTGGCCTCTACGCCCAGCAACTGCCTTGGGATCCCCTCGCCTGCTGGCGGGGCCCTGGCATTAATCACATATCTTGGGGAACCCAGGTTTCTTCTCCACGGAGGGCCCAGCTCTGGGATGTCAGTCCCTGCTGCCACAATGACATAGACAGAGGGGGAGAGGACCTGGTTGTAGGCTTTGACAGAGAAAGCAGCACCTTGTTTACTAGGGAAAGAAAATAGGAAGTTGAGCACTCCCAACCCCTCTTCACTCAAGCATCAAAGCTCAGATGTCAGGGAGGCTGGAGGAGTCCCTCAGAGCGTGGGCAGTGCCATTCAAAAAACTTGGGTTTCCAGCCGTCGGACTTCCTTGACCACAAGATCAATGTTAATAATTGGGTTAAAGTACAGGGCCCAGTAAAATAAACAGTTGCAAACAAACTGAGGAATGAGGGGCCAGAACATGGCCACAAAAAGCCCCTGTGTTGATACTTTCCAAAAATGGCTCCACATCCTCTGAGGCACAGTCTTCAGTTCACTTCTTGACCAGATCCTCCAAAAAGAGAATAATTCCAGAACCGACAGTAACATGGCATTGACGATGAGAAACCGAGACGTCCAATAATGGACTTCCAGCCAGTTCCAAGCAAATTCTGCAATCAGCTGGTATGGAAGGAAGGAGTATTTGACAAAGAAATTCTCTCCCCCTGCTTCCATGTGGGCTCTCTAAGATCCCAGAAGTTTGAAGATGTCCTCCTCAGAGCTGTCTTCTTGTAGAGGACAGATGGTGTGGATGAAGGGTAGGAAGGTGTCTGTGTAGTCAAAACAGGTAGAGGGACAGCAGACCAAGTCTGGGGGAACTCCTGAGGGCATACAGCAGGAACAGGGACCTGCCTGGGTTCACAGCCTTATATTCCCAGAGATTTGGGGGGGGCTTCACGCCTAGTGCTTTGACACGCTCCAATTCCATGAGGATGGCTCTTCTGTGGCTGCTGTTTTCTATGGTATATGGTGCCCTTGAAAATTCTTCCTCTGTTAAAGTTAAAAGCAATCTTCCATTTACTCTTTCGGCTAAAAACCTGTCTCTGTAGAGAGAGGCCCAAGGGCCCAGCTGCTCCAGCCAGAGGACAACTTCTTCCGCTGTCCATTTGGCCACAGCCTTGTGGACCAGGAGGTCATGCTCCGATTCCCTGCTGCTCCAGTGATACACGAGCAGGACCACTGCCACACCAGTTAAAGCTGAGAGCACTCCTGAAAAGAATCCCCCTCCTCTCTGCTGATTCACTCGGCCTGCGTTGGGAGCTAAAGAAATCTGATCATTCCCATATTTCTGAAAGGCTGCAAGGCTCTGGACTATGTCATTATTCTGCTGAACGTCTTCCAATCGCATCCTAATGGCATCAGGAAATAACTTTTCAATGGCATCCCTGAGGAGAATATTGACTTTGGGGAAACCTTCCCATTTTTCTCTGCATTCTGGACACTCGGTTTTCTTTGAAGAGGTCCACCATAAAGCTAGGCAGTGCCGGCAGAAGCTGTGACCACAGTTCAAGGTGGTGGGGTTAATCAGGATGTCGTAACAGCAGTGGCAAGAAAATTCACTAACAGAAATCTGAGGGCTGGTGCTCTCGAGGGGATCATCTTTCTCAAGGGTCATCGTGTTCAGGTCATGTTGCTGAGACTCCTCCATCTCTTAGCAAATTGTGTGTTTCACAGGCATAGAAAATTTCAGACTTAGAAAACTGCTGTAAAGCATCATTAAATCGAGACTCAGAGAAGGCGCAGTGCGGAGGTGAAATACTAAGGTGCAGAGGTGCCTGTGGAGCGGGCCGGCGCGGAGGGCGCGGTTGTTGGTTTCAATCGGGAGGGAGTTTCAGACTCTGAGCTCCAGATTCGGGCGAGTCTCCAGCCCCAGCAGGTCCAGGAGTCCCCAAAGGTGTGGACGGAGTCGGTGAAGAAGGAATGACACGGAGACAGCTTTCAGTTGATCAGCAGCCTAGTCAGGACCTCTAGCCAGGATCTCCAGCCAAAGTTCTGGTTAGGAACTCCAGCCAAGCTCTGGTTAGGATCTGATCAGGATCTGATGTTTATTGTCTTGTTACATCCATATTTATACCAGCCGATTTTAATCCTGTCAATTTCTATTACAAAGGTTAGGGCGTTTCTTATCTCCATTCCAGGGAGTAAAGATTATGTAGCTTAAGGGTGATTGTTCGTAGTTGAGGTGATTACCCGCCTGGCATTTAGTTAAGGGGTTGTATCCCCTCCCTAACCTCAGGGAAAAATCCCCACCTGGGGAAACAACCTTTCTCAGAGAGGTGACCTTGGTTAAAACACATGGCACTAAGGAGAGCAAACATATTAAGAACAATATGCTATATACGCCAGGTCCCTTGAAACATATGCTGTGCAGATGTTTCTTTCCTGCAGCGACTGTGTCAAGCAGCAAGGATGGACCGGCTCCCGGCACGGTGCTATCGTCACTCCCATGCTATGGATGAAGAGACTGAGGCTCAATGGGGTGCTGCCGTGGGGATGTGAACGACAGCCAGGCTGCCTCCAGACGTGCCCTTTAGCCATGGTGTCATACTGCTCGTGTGGTTGGGGTGACTAGAGTCTGGAAGAGTTGGAGAGGGGAGAGGGGTGAGGCCAGGCGGGACAGATGGGCCGGGACCAAGTCCTGCAGGGCTGCCATGTGGGGATGGGGATCTGGACTTCATTACAGCAGAGCGGGTAGCACTTTCTTAGGGTGAGGGTGATGAGATCGGATGTGCTTGTTTGAGAAGCCACTCTGGGACCAGATGGAGGGAGAAAAGCCAGAGTGGGGAGACTGAGGTAGGGCATGGGGGAGGGCAGGGAAGAGGCCACTGCCACCGCAGGAGTGTGAGGCTGGGGCAGCAGGGCTCCAGGCAGGGTCAGACTCCAGGCAGGCAGTTCTAAGATAGAGTCATCGGTGGTTGGCAGGCGGGAAGTGAGGGGTGAGCAATCACACTTGGGGTAACGGCATGCTGCTGTTTATTTCATTCACGCATAGAGCATATTTTTATTGAGCATCTACTAGATGCCATGTCCTGGGCGAAGTGCTGAGAACACAGGGAAGAAAGATAGAACTGCTAGCCTGGAGAAGCCAAGAAGGGAGGTGGGAATTGCTGGAAGAGAAAGGAGGGCAAGAGAAGGATGCATTTGGCTGGGGATGTATCGAGTTAGAGGGGCCAGGGGATAGCCAAGTGACAGTGTCCAAGGGGCATTGGATAGAAGGTCTGGACTCTGGAGAGAGGTCAAATTTAAGACACAGGATTTAAAAAATTAAGACTTGAGCACAACTTGGTAGACTTATTGAAAAGCATTGAATAGTACACTCAAAATGAGTACATTTTTATAATATATAGATTATACCTCATTAAGGCTAAAAATGCAATTAGGAAAAAAAAAAAAAAACCCAACAGGTCCCAAATTTTCTAGGAAGTCATGAAACAGGGAGGAGGAGAATATTCCAGACAGAAGAAAGGGGCAGGAGTGAAAGCCTAGTGACATGAGTGGACGTGGGTGACATGAGTGGACGTGGGTGACATGAGTGGACGTGGGTGAGGGTGAGGGTGAGGGTGAGGGTGACAGGAGTGGACGTGGGTGACAGGAGTGGACGTGGTCCAAGTTGGGCAGCTTGGGAGGGATCGGAAGGGGAGGTTGCCTCGCTCTCTCAGGCCAGTTGTACTAGTCACGTTACTGAGCACTGACCCCCTGCAGGGGTTGCAGGGAGCTTTGTATCCTAGATCAAATCAAGCCTGCCCGACTGCAGAGGGGAGATGCCTCCCTCATTTTACAGACGGGGAAACTGAAGTTCAGAGAGGTTAAGAAGTTACCTACAGTCACATTGCCTTTTCAAAGGGATAGAATCAGTCCAGTTGGGTGGATTGACTCTGAAGTTGGGCTCCTAATTAACACCCCATGAGCTTTGCCACATGCAACAAATGTCCCCATCCAAGCACGGGCAGGCAGCGGTGGGTTGGGACCTGGGAGCCCACTGTAGGGAGACCTGGGGTTGAGACACTGGCGCCACAATAGCGCCACCTGCTGGCCAAGAATGGAAAGATGCTCACTCCCCAGCTTGGCGCACACAATTCTCTTTTTCTGCCTCTTTCCTCGATCCCGTTCCCTTCCAACAGCCCTGGGAGGCTAGCAGGCAGGGATTGTTGTCTGGCCTCAATTTACCAATGAGGAGACAAGGCTCAGAGAAGAGAAGATTTCTCCAAGACGATTCAGACAAGCAGAATGTTTGCCACATCCCACCTGTCCCCAGTGTGGACTCAGGCCCCCTGAGGGTCCCCCACGGGCATTTTAGGGGCATCTAGGCCAACGCCCTCCCTTTCTGACTCACAGATGGGGAAACTCCCAGGTGAGTCTGGGCTCGATTCCCAGTAGGAGGTGTGCAGGAGGCAGCCGATCCCTGACTCAGCTGTGGAAAGGTCCAGTGTCCCTTTGTAGCCAGAATAACTGAGTGACGCCTCATGACAAGGTGTGATCTTTCTGGCTTGCTACACTCTCTGGGCCAAGCGGGTCCCTACCCAGGAAATCTCCTTGCTCGAGCTGTGCGGACACAGGTAAGACCAGCTCACTGCCATCTCGCCAGCCCTGGTCCACGTTGTCTCTGCTGCTCGCCGGCTGTGTGCCCTTGCACGAGGCCCTGCACTTCTCTGTGCCTCAGTTCCCTCATCTCTGAGATGGGGAAGCCACTCCCCGCCACCCAGTTGTTGTGAAGATCAGACGAGGTCGGTCATGTGTATAATCCGCTGGGCACAGTGCCTGGCACCGAGTAGGTGCACAAGAAACAGGTGTCAAATTGATAACTGGTGGCTGTTTTGCTTTCAGTTTGTTCTTGCTGTGGCGGGTGTGTGTGTGTGTGTGTGTGTGTGTGTGTGTCCGCCCGCCTTTCTTTAGTTTTCTGTTTTGTTTTGTTTTTAACTGAAAACATATATTCTTTTAAATATATTTTATTGATTTCAGAGAGGAAGGGAGAGGGAGAGAGAGAAACATCAGTGATGAGAGAGAATCATTGGCTGGCTGCCTCCTGCACGCCCCCTACTGGGGATCAAGCACACAACTTGGGTATGCACCTTTGACCGGAATCGAACCCTTGAGTCCACAGGCCGACACTCTATCCATCGAGCCAAACCAGCCAGGGCTGGAAACATATTTGGCTTTCAGAAAAATAATACACCAAACCTCTGCACTTCAACCTGTGCCGATGACAAGGAACACAAGTGAATAGAAAAGAAGGAAATGGGAGAATTCATTACAAAGACTCCCAGACTCCCAGGGCTTGGACTGGGGTTCCTCTCTCTGCTTCTTCCTGGAGGCTTGCTGTGCTCCCCTCTCTCTCCTCCCCTCCTTCTCGCTCTCTCCCTCCCTCTAGACTGGCTTTCTCTACCCGGGTGGCCACCACCAACTCCTGCTTCTCCCAGTCACAGTCTCAGCCACGTGCAGAGACTCACCATCACGGACCCTAAACGCCAAACCAGGTTCCTGTTAGAGAGACTGTGAGCTGCCGGGTCCAATCAGATGTTGTCCCTTAAATATACAGTAAGCCCTAGAGTCCAATACCGACTTCTGCGCATGGGCCACAAAGTTTCAATGGCACTGTACGTGCGCGCCCACACGTGGAATTTTGTGGAAGAGCCACACTCAAGGGGCCAAAGAGCTGCATATGGCTCGTGAGCCGCAGTTTGCCGACCACTGCCCTAGCCGGTTTGGCTCAGTAGGTCACCACTCGCTGGAAGGTCAATGAGCTAATCCAAGCTCCTCTCGTAGGCAGGGAAAACTGAAAGAGTTGAGAAGTTTGAGTTTTCTGAGAGGTGGGGGTGGAGGTGACTGGAAATGGAATTCAGAGCTCCCGGAATCGACCCCAGATGGTCAGAGTGTGTGTGACCTTGCCTTGTCTAATCGCTGCCCACATTTTATAAAGAAGAAACACAGTCCAGAGGTTTGTGGTTTGTCAGAGGCTGCCCAGCCAATCAGTGGCAGAGCTGGGCCCAGAACTCAGGCCTCCTGGCACCACGGCTCAGCCTCAAGGTTTCAGAAGGCCAGACCTGACTCCTCCGAGAGCAGTGTTGTCCCAGAGAACTTCCTGTTGATGGCAATGTCCTAATCCACCCTGTTCAGCATGGTGGTTAGCAGCCACATGGGGCTCGTAAGCACCTGAAATGTAGCTATTGTGGGTGAGGAACTGAATTTTAAATTTTACTTACTTTAAATTTTAAATAGCCCTAGCCAGTTTGGCTCAGTGGATAGAGTGTCTGCCTGCAGACGGAGGGGTCCTGGGTTTGATTCTGGTCAAGGGCACGAACCTCGGCTGTAGGCTCCCAGCCTTGGTCGGGTGCATGCAGGAGGCAACCAATCGATGTGTGTCTCTCACAGCCATGTTTCTCTCTCTCTGTCTTTCCCTCTCTCTTCCACTCTTTCTAAAAATCAATGGAAAATATCCTCGGGTGAGAATTTTAAAAAAATTTAAATAGCCACATGCAGTTAGTAGCTACCATATTAGACAGGGCAGCTCTAGAGCTGGAAACTGTTGGTTTTCTTGGAAAAGAAGTAGAGCCTGGCTGGTGTGGCTCAGTGGTTGAGTGTCGACCTACGAACCAGGAGGTCAGGGTTCAATTCCTGGTCAGGGCACATGCCCAAGTTGTGGGCTTGATCCCCAGCCAGCTCATGCTGTCCTGCCCTGCCTGCAGTATGCAAATTAGCCACCATCTTTGTTGGTGGTTAATTTGCATATCGTGCTGATTAGCCGATGGGAGGTGTAGCGAAGGTACAGTCAATTACCATGTTTGTCTATTATTAGATAGGATATATAAGTTTTAAATATATTTTTCTAGTTTACTGAGAATTGAAATTTTAAATATATTTTTCTAGTTTTACTGAGAATCAAGGCCAAAACCCAGGCATGTGCCCTGACAGGGAATCAAACCATGACCTTCTGGTTCATAGATTGATGCTCAACCACTGAGCCACTCTGGCCAGGCAATAAAAAACATTTTTTTTTAAAGTTGCCATAAGCCTCTTGGTAAATAAATCTTTGCATGTGTTCTCAATAATTTAATTAGAATAGGTTCCCAATGAAACAAACGGTGGGCATTATTTTGGAATCTTCTGACACATACTGCCCAGATGCCCCTGAGGAAGGTTAGAGCTGCCATTGGACGGTGTTCGAACATTCGCACACTGTGCACTGTCCTTGGTGCTGAGGGTTGGGCAGCTCTACTCATGGCACTTAGTCTTGCTGGGAGGAGGGCAGGGTATAATAGAGTGGATGGTGGCAGATGCTAAGAAAACGCTAACGAAGGGTGAAGCCTTGACATGAGAGAATTACTTTATAGCGGGTGGTCAAGGGGACCTCTCCTATAATGACATTAAAACAGAAACCTGAAGGCTTGATGCCCAGTTCCCCAACCCTAAGTATTATCACATATTTCAGTTTAGAAATGAAGGGTCTTATTGTTATGTCCTTTTGAGAATTTATTAAGCACCCACTATATTCTGGATGCTGGAAAGAAAACAAAGTATTCAGTCAGCGGACTAGATAGAGTTAGGGTCTAGACCCGTGGTCGGCAAACTGCGGCTCGAGAGCCACATGCGGCTCTTTGGCCCCTTGAGTGTGGCTCTTCCTAAGCCTTAGGAGTACCCCAATTAAATTAATAACAATGTACCTACCTATATAGTTTAAGTTTAAAAAATTTGGCTCTCAAAAGAAATTTCAATCGTCGTGCTGTTGATATTTGGCTTTGTTGACTAATGAGTTTGCTGACCACTGGTCTAGACTCCGCTCTCAAGAAATGCCGAGTTCCTCAAACTCATGGAAGAACTCATCCTCGCTGATGAGGCTGGTGTTTGAATGGACAATTGGCCTCATCATCAACTTCTGGCTTGGGCCTTGGGCCTTGGGCCTTCTGACCCTCAATTGTCCCCTCTGTGAAAAGAGGAAATACTCTCCTTTTTTCCTTACGAGTTTGAATTATTTATATAAAAATGCTTACTAAATTTTTCTATGTTTCTAACTCTCTATCCCTTTCCCTTCTTCTCTGTAGAAAAATCAATAAAATATATTTAAAAAATATAAATGGTAGCTTCCTTCTCTGGGCCACCCATTTTTGAGTCCATGAGACAAGAAGTGTTCTGTGTGGTTTCTGCACTGCATGGTCTGCTTCTCTATAGGGAAGAAGGTTTCCTCTTCTGGAGCCTCTTCCCCGTCCACCAAGGCCTTCCCTCACCTCCCTTCCCAGCCCTTTCCCCATTCAAACACCGGCCCCATCAGTGAGATGGCAGTCACTGCCTCCTCCCTCCTCGGAGAGCCTCACCAAGGACGAGTGACAGACCCACCGCTGTGAGTTTGCTGTGTGTGACCCAGGACCCCTCTCCAAGCTCTGCCTTTAATGTAAAGTTCTGAGGAAGAGGCTGGTGTTTCCCTTGGCACTGACGGGAGCCTGAGGTTCAAAGCCGAGAGATTTGCTCAAGGACCTATGGCTGAAAGGAGAAACTCCATCGGGATCCTGATCGTCTGCCCGACCTAAGGCCCAGGTGCTGACCAGTCCTGCTGCTCTGATGGTCTGGCCTCCCACTTGGCCCTTAACTTCAAGCACCTTGATTCTTTCTGTACCTCTTCTGTCCGGTATGTCCAGTGAACTGATGTGTCACCTTTTAGGGTGAAGATGATGTCTCTGATGGGCTTTGGCTGGGGTTTTTAGAGGGATAAATACAATGACTGCTTAAAAAGCATGCATATTCTGCATCGTCATACTAAGTCATTTCCCTAGAACAGCGGTTCTCAACCTGTGGGTCGCGACCCCTTTGGTGGTCGCACGACCCTTTCACAGGGGTCGCCTAAGACCATCTTGCATATCAGATATTTACATGACGATTCATAACAGTAGCAACATTACAGTTATGAAGTAGCAACGAAAATAATTTTATGGTTGGGTCACAACATGAGGAACTGTATTTAAAGGGCCAGGAGGTTGAGAACCACTGCCCTAGAAGGTCTTATACTCAATGATGCCCTTGTTTACAAGTCTGCTTGTCCAAGGGCATATGGCCATTAGCTAGCCAAGCCAGGGCCACCGCTGCCTTGAGGAAGTCTTTAGTAGCCCCCACGGCTCAAGGGGAAGCCTTGGAGTTGCTCTCGTGTTGCCTGAGTGTCCTAAACCTGCCCTTAATAATGCGCTTTTCTTTTTGCTGATGCATTTGTGTCCCGAGAGTAAAGCACAGCAAGTCTTTTTGCCTCTGCCTCTCCTGACCTGGATGTCTCTCAAGCAAGGAAGGAGTGGGAGATGCTGGGCTAATTCCGTCCCCTCTGCTTCCTTTCGGGGACCTGACTGGTTCAAGAACCACAGAGCTGGGCTCCTGGGGAGGAAAAGGTGCAAAGGGGGAACCCTGGGGTGGCTTTTGGCCCTAACCTGGTTCATCCGCTCTTAGAACCAGATTGGACTCTGGCATTGGACTATAGACTTAAATAGCGTCTATAAAACTTAGTAAACTTCTTGTGCCTTGTTTGTTCATCTGTAAAATGGGAAAACAATAGTATCTGACTCCCAGGGATGTTAAAGGTCAAGTGAGTTGGTACCTGCTGGCCATGGTAAATCAGCAATTAATTAGCTATTCTCATCAACACAGTGTGGGTACTGGGTCAAGTGAGAGCTATTTGAGGGAAGTTCAGTGGAAAAAGTTGGGGGGGGCGCAGAGAGAATAAGACTGAACTTTGGAGGATGAACTCTCTTTTATCTTCCTAGGGGACATGTTTCCCTCAAATTATTTTCTTAACTTCACTTTGACAATTTGAGAGTCACAGAGAAGTTGCACCAACTCCCATGTATACTTCGCTTAGATTCCCTAAATCTTAAATCGACCACATTTGCTTTATCCTTTTCTCTGCAAGTACAATATTTTTTTCGGAACCATTTGAGAGTAAGCCACAGTTATGATGCTCCTTTACCCCCAAATGGAATGTGTATTTTTTTAAACCCAAGGACATTCTCCTATGGAACCAAGGTTAAGTAATCAGAACGAGGGCTTTAAATTAACATGGATACATTGTGAAGTCTACAGACGTCATTCAGATTTTGTCAGTTACCCCAAAAATATGCTTCACAGCAAAAGAAAACCAGGATCATGTGTTGTGTTCAGTGGTTGAAGCAGCCCCTCCTTCGGCGCTGCCCTCTCCTGGAGGTCTGGCTGAGGCCCCAGCTCTGGGTGAGCCAGTGGCTGCTTGAAGGAGGAGGCTCAAAGGGAGGCCTTCTCCCTCCGCCCTCAGACCAGCTTCCCAGAGTGCCCTTTTGTCCCAACGGATGGAACAGAGACATCTAGGGGCCTCTATCTCCCCTCTAACGAGGAGAGAAGGGGATTATGGCAGCATAAGAAAGCAGCTTGGCTCCTTTCCCACCGAAGTCCTCTAAGTTCTTCTTTCCCCATTGGTTCCTGTTAAAGGAACTGGCTGACTCAAGGTCAGCTCCTGCCTGGGATATGGATCCTGGTAACCTCTTGGGTCCTCTGCTAAGGATTTAGTGTAAGTCAGGGAGCCCTCTTACAGTCAGGATTGGAGACCTCGTCTGTCAGAGACTGACCTATAAGCAGTCTTGGTGTCTGCAGGTGACCCTCTCTTAATTGTATACCATGTCTAATACTTTTTGGGGGGTTGCTTGGGTACAGTAGGGTTATGTTAATAACAAGAGTAACCACTTATTGTGGACTTACTATATGCTCTACACAGTTACCTCATTTAATGTTCACAATATCATGTGCCCATTTTAAAAATAAGGAAAACTGAGGTTGAAGGAGGTCTAATTAGTCAGCTGTCCAAGAGCATATAGCTATTGGCTAGCCAAGACAGGACCACATCTGCCTGTCTTCACAGCTCAGGACTCAAGCCACTCTGTTCTAACTGTATAAATGTCATTTTTTGCAGAATAAATTATCTACTTTGTAATTTGTGTGATTGATTTAATGCAGTTCTGGCTGTCTCTTCACGCAAGACCCACCAGGTCCTGAGACTGGACCAGGGGAGGAGGAGGGCCGGGAAGCCCAAGTAAAACCCAGTCTGGAAGCTGGTGGTCCGCCAGCGTTGCCTGCAGTTGCTAGCAGTGCCCACGAGGGGGCAGCCGGCGCTACGCCGCGCCTCTCTCTCCCCCTCTTCTCTCTGGTTAGCGTGGGAAAGAGCCCGCCTCCTGTCCCATAAGGCCCTGCGCCGGAAACTTCACTCTCTCTTCCTGTCTCTCATCATGGCGGTGAGTATCCCAGGCCCGGGTTAGCTTCCCTTCATCCGCTTCCATCCACGGCCGGCCGAGCCCCCGAGGGCTGCCTCGCCCGCAGCCCGAGGAGGATGGAGCCGTCGCTGCTGGCCGTCCCGAAACTTCGGAGCCCCGCGGGCCGAGAGCGCGGAGCCGGCCCCCGGCGCCTCCCTCACGTCCTCCTCAGAGCGAGCTGGGGCAGCCGCCCGGAGGCCCCGAAGCACGGGCCGTGGGCTGCAGCGAGAGCGAGCGGCTCGAACGAAGGGGTCCGCACCTGTTTCCGGTCCCGGGGACCTGGGGCTTGGCCAGTGCTGGGGAACCTCGGCCGGGACCTCCGCACGGGAAGGGCCGCCGGCCTTTTGCCGCGGTCTTGGCGCTGCTTCCGAGTGGGATGGGGGACGCGGCACTAGCACGTGCTTCCCGTTTCCTCAGCAGCTAAATTCTGTATTTCCTTTCCCCTCATCGGCCTTAAAATGGGGCGCTCCCCGTCACCCTGCATGTTGAGCCCCTGAGGGTTCCTCCTCGGTGTCTGTAACCTCGGGACCTGCCCGACGTTTCCGTTCCCCTCTTCCGCGCGTGGAGGAATGAACAAGGCCCCGAGCTGTCTGCCCCGACAGTTGCTCAGTCCTTAGGGCTTCCGGTGGGAGGTGGGCTGAGCAGAGAGAAACGTGCAATGTATGGAAAGCGCGCTCGCAGCCGGGGCGGGCCGCGCGTGTGGTGACCGCCGCGCCCGCTGTTCACAGCAGGATCAAGGGGAAAAGGAGAACCCCATGCGGGAGCTGCGCATCCGCAAGCTCTGCCTCAACATCTGCGTCGGGGAGAGCGGGGACCGACTGACGCGGGCAGCCAAGGTCCTGGAGCAGCTCACGGGCCAGACCCCGGTCTTCTCCAAAGGTGAGTGAGTGGCGGCTCGCGGGGGGCTGGAGGCCGGTCTCCGCCAAGCCTTTTGAGCGCCCCATTTTGAAAGTGACGGATGACATCCCTTAAAAGCATTAACTTTTTGGCCTAACCCAAGAAATACCTTCCTTTTAGGGTTGGTTGTGGCGTTTGGACCACAAGGTTTTACTCTGAGCGGAGATTAGGACTGGCCCAAGCAAAGGTTTTCCAAGAAAGGGAGCGGGCGGAGGGGAAGTGCTGGGGAAGCAGTGAATGGCACTAGGCCTGATTAGCAAGTAGGTTATATAGGCGACACTGAACAGGGTCAGGTTGTGTTGCTTTCAGATAGTGGAATATGGCAAGTCCTTGGGTTCACATCCCGCCGCTTATTGCCAACTGCGATCTTAGACAAGTTAGTCTCTCAGAACCTCATCTGTGAAATGGGGATGACAGTCCAATAAGGTTTTGGCAAACATTAGCTATTGTTGCCCTAAAATTTTTTTTTTTTTTTTTTTTTTTTTTTGTAGAACACAATGGTCACCTTCCTTTCTAGGGGCCTTTCTAGGGGCCTGTTCTGGTTGTGAACTTACCTCCCCTAAGTGTGGCTGAGTGACTTGGGGTGGGAAAAGTCTTTCTGTGTTTGAAAAGATGTAGGTGGCACTGGTTAGAAGACCACCACTCAGAGTGTGGATAGATCCTTAGTATCTCTTTGGAGTCGGGGTGGTTATGTTCTGGGGAATAGGCAGTGGGAGTATGACAACCCCTGACTCCCTGTTCCCCCCACCCTGCAGCCAGATACACCGTCAGGTCCTTTGGCATCAGGAGAAATGAAAAGATTGCTGTCCACTGCACAGTCCGTGGGGCCAAGGCAGAAGAAATCTTGGAGAAAGGTCTAAAGGTGAGGCCCATCCTGGCATGGGGTGATGCTAACGAGCACCAGTTTAACACATGTACCTTTTTTTTTTAGTGTCATTAACATATAACTTTATTAGTTTCACGTGTACAGTATGCTATTTATTGAAATTATCACAATAAACCTGATTGTCACTGTACAACATTAAAAAATAATTTTTTCTTGTGATGAGAACTTTTAAGATTTATTGTTAGCAACTTTCAAAAATGCAGCACAGTATTATTAACTATAGTCACCATGCTGTATGTTACATCCCCATGACTTTTTTATAACTGGAAGTTTGTTCCTCTTGACCCTCTTAACACATTTCTCTCTCTCTCTCTCTCTCTCTCTCTCTCTCTCTCACACACACACCAATCTTTTTTTTGGCATCTAGGAGTTTTGTTTTTTAGATCCCATCTGTAAGTGAAATGATGGTGTTTCTTTCTCTGTCTGATTTATTTCATTAGCATAATACCCTCAAAGTCCTTGGCATTATTGCAGATGTCAAGATTTTTTTTTTATGGCTGAGTAGTAGTCCATTGTATGTGTATATATACCACATATTTATCCATTCATCCCCTATTGAGCAACTTAGGTTGTTTTCATGTCTTGGCTATTGTAGATAATGCTATAGTGAACATAGGATTGGGTGTGTCTTAATTTTTTGGGAAACCTCCATACTGATTTTCATAGTGACTGCACCAATTTACATTCCCACCAACAGTGCACAAGAGTTCCCTTTTCTCCACATCCTGACAACACATCTTTTTTTTTTTTTTTTTAATATATTTTATTGATTTTTTACAGAGAGGTAGGGAGAGAGATAGAGAGTTAGAAACATCGATGAGAGAGAAACATCGACCAGCTGCCTCCTGCACATCTCCCACTGGGGATGTGCCCGCAACCCAGGTACATGCCCTTGACCGGAATCGAACCTGGGACCTTTCAGTCCGCAGGCCGATGCTCTATCCACTGAGCCAAACCGGTTTCGGCACATATCTTTTTTTATAATAGCCATTCTGCCTGGTGTGAGATGTTATTCCATTGTGGTTTTGATTTGCTTTTCCCTAAAAAGAGGAAGGGAGAGAGAGAGAAAAAAAAAACACATCAATTTGTTGTTCCACCTATTCACGCACTCATTGATTCTTGTATGTGTCCTTACTGAGGATCGAACCCGCAACCTTTGTGTAAGGGGTTGACACTATGACCAACTGAGGTGCCCAGCCAGAGTCATCTGTATGTCTGAACTTCTAAAGGATTATTCCTGCATTTGGCAGAGTTGAACTATACTCTGATGTTTCCTGGGGGTTTTCCCTGCCCTTGGAAAGTTGGGAAAGTTCTGTGAAATCCATAGTTGGGATGTGATTTGGTGTAGTGGGGAAACCAGATTTTGTTTCTGATCAAATTGTATTTCTGCGGTGCTGAGTGTTACAAGCCAAGTTCGTTATTTTGGGGGGATTTGAGTTGACAAGGAGTGTGATTGGCTACATTTATCTCCTCAGGTGCGAGAGTATGAATTACGAAAAAATAACTTCTCAGATACTGGAAACTTTGGTTTTGGGATCCAGGAACACATCGATCTGGGGATCAAATATGACCCAAGCATTGGTATCTACGGCCTGGACTTCTATGTGGTATGAATATTTGGTCTTTTCCACTCCTTCTCTGGGAGGGAGCATGGAATCAGCTACTCCTTCATTTCATGTGTGCTATTTTGATGTTCAGGTGTTGGATTGAAACTTTGAGTGTTGTCTGCCTTTATCTTCTTTCCTTTTGGAAGATGTGCCTCATCTGTGCCCTGTTTAGGGATGCAGCACTGAAGTAGACAGACAAGGTCATTGCTCTTGTGAAGCTTAAAGTCTAGGATCTAGCAACCACCAATATGGCTGTAAGATGGAGGAAGAGACAGTGTTGTCCAGACACTGAATTGAAAATTTGAGAGCGAGTGTTGGGCGCCTCATTTGGCATTTGGGTTGGCTGCACTGAGGCTGCTCTTTCCAGCTCCTTCCCTTAGCCCCTGCGGGAGGGTGGCTTCCATCCAGAGGGCAGGTTTGGTGATGTGGTTGGTTTGTCTCAGGTGGGGATTTCAATGTAGGAATGACCATTTGTGTTACTGTTATGCTTTGGTCCAACCATCAAACTAAATAGCAAAACCAGAAGTCCTGACTGGCGTGGAACCTGAGTGATGGCAGCACCCTTGTCGGAGTTAGATATCCAAACAGTAATGGGAGTCAGGAAACAGCAAACCTAATTTAAGAAAGACTTTTTGCTCTGAAGTGGAAGGAGAGAAATAAAACTATTTCTTTGTCACTTCTCAGAATTTTAAATTCTCTACAATACATATGTAGTAAGGTTGTTCTTAATATTGCTTTTAAAAATTAAAAGTGCTTTGGAAATTGGGAAGCAGTGGTGGAGAATCCTTAGCTGCCACTGGAAGTGAGGTAGGGAGGAGGGAAGGTGCAGCCAAGTTCCACCCTCCAAAGCAAACCTACAGTGTGTGGTGGTGTGTTGTCCAGGGTGCTGGTACCAGTTCCATCAGTTCCAGGATGACTGGGCCACCAGATGACTCTTGAAGATCGATCTCTCCAATGTGTGAGTCTTGTCTGTCTGCTGTTGACTCTGAGCTGGCGAGGTGACTGTTGGTTATTCCTGGGACAGGTGCTGGGTAGGCCAGGTTTCAGCATCGCAGACAAGAAACGCAGGACAGGCTGCATTGGGGCCAAACACAGAATCAGCAAAGAGGAGGCCATGCGCTGGTTCCAGCAGAAGGTAAAGCTGATTTATCTCAGGTGAAATGGCGGAATGTGGTGAGTGGAGTTGGGATTTGGGGATGCAAAATCTACCACCAATTGGTTGGTAGCTTCTTTGAGATAGAATATTTGAGCAACTTGGTAAGTGGGGGCTTCCAGGGTTAATGGTTTAAAAGAACACCCAGAATTGGGGCTTTTCTCCACCTCCATGAATGCTGATAGCTCGGAGGGTGGGAAAACGGCTCTCCTAAGAGCCCCCTTTTTCTTGGGGGATGTAGTGCAGTTGAGCACAGTGTAGCAGTTGTTAAAACTGGCCCGTTTCTGTTTAGTTCAGAATGGGTATGGGATTCAGAGCCAAATCCATGTATCAGATTTGACTTCTCAAATGAAACATTAGCCATTGCTGCAATCTTTGCTGTTGCCTCCTGTTCTGAAAAAATAAATCTCTTCTCTTTCAGTATGATGGCATCATCCTTCCTGGCAAATAAATTCCCGTTTCTATCCAAAAGGCCAATAAAATGTTTTCAGTGAAATGTACGTTACTGTGTGTGTTCTGTGAAAGGAGCCTGGCCATATTCAAGTCCTTGGACCTCAAGCCATTAAAGCTTCGATGGGAATAGCTGGTAACAACCCTGTCTTCCCGAGTGGATGCCAGTGTTTCCTGGCAGGTCTAAGCCTGAGCTGTACAGCATTGCCTGTGCTCGCCACAGCCTTGTTGATAAGCTGTGGTGCAGTCGTCACAGGAGACTGATTTTAGCGGGGAAGGTACGATTGGGGCTGGGGTTAGAGCCTTGATTAAAGGTAGGGTGCAGTGTTTCCATGTTTCACTCAGTGATTCTGTTCTTCCCTAGAGATTTTACTAACACTGATGCCTGGTGAAGGGATTATAGGCTTCTGTATGATGCTTGGGATTAAATTTTGGTTTAACTGTTCAGACTCAGTTTTCCTTTAAAATGAGAGTCTATAAGGTTGTTAAGAGGCAATATAAGTAGAGAAGAGGGTGGTCTTTGAAGCAAGTTTCCTGGATTGATTCCCACCGTCTTCTAGGTGTGTTAACCTTAAGCAAGTTAATCTCTGCCTCAGTTTTCTCATCTGTATCATGGAGGCAATAATAGTAATGCCCTCAGAGGCTACAAGGGGTTAGTACTTGTAGGGTGTCTAGACTTGTACCAGGCACGTGGTGCTCAAAAAGGGATAATTTTGTGTTAATGTATGAGAAATGTTTCTCATAATCAGTTTGCTCCCCTTTTAGTGTGAAAGTGGAACTTCCTTGCCTGCATATTTCCAGGTCACTGAAGTGACATTCAAAAGCCACCATTTCTAACTTACTCTCTTGTGACTAACAAGTTCAGTTGTCCTTGGACCACCTTTCATTGCTGTTCATGGTGCTGTAATGTTAGCTGTCTTCATAGGTATTTTAAAACCCAGAGATTATTTAGTGTGTCCAGTTTTTTATGAAAATGTGACATTTTGTCTTCCTGATAATAAAGTCTTCTTACCCAATAAGACCAGATCCAGTTGGCTACAGGGAAGAATCATGAAATGTGTTGCCATATACATTTTATTTCATTTAAAATATAAATGTGCAACCACTTTTCAATCTTTTACTGTAGGGCCAGGGCTATCACCTTGTAAACAGAAAGAACTTATGAAGGGGTCTTGATTCTTGGAATTCAGCTTCATTTTTATAGGGGGAGCCTCATTCATTTTAACTTCTGTAATTATAGTAACAACTACTGGAATGAATATTTTTTAGAACAAATTTCTTGGTGAATAGCTACGGTGTTGGGTGCTAGCTGCTATGGGAAGTTGCATGTTGTACAGAGGAGATGGAGAGCATTTGCTAGTTTCATCTAAAAGCACTTCAGAAATATGGACAGTGGAAGTCCCTCTACTGCTGTCCTTGTGCATGTTACTGATAGTACTTTGCTGTTTGCTGTGTATCTATATTTTTATGTTTGTATTACTATTTAATTTTAACAGTATAAACCTGCCTACCCTTCATTTGGTCCTGCTGTATTCTCAGTTGAGTTAATTTCTCTGTTTTAAAATTAAACTTCCTGGGCTCCTGGCTCATTGAAAAAATAACTCTTGGGAGTTCAGAGATCTAACTGGGTTTTAGTGCTAGCTCTAGCTATATTTTAAGTGAGTCATGGAACATCTTGGGGACTGGAGCAAGTGGGGGTACTTCCCTATCCAGTTTAGAGCAGATAGTACCAGGAAAGCTTACCCTGTTTTGGTTAGAAGCTTGGTTCCAAAAGGATATAACACTGGGCTCTAAAGCATTGATATTTTGGGTTGAGCTGCTAGAAGGTGGATGGGATCACCTGGGGAATTGTTGAAACCCTTGGGCCCTGCCTCAGACCTCTACTGCATTAGGAACTGCCTTTAACAAGATCTGCAGGTGACTTGCATGCCCACACTAATGTATAGAAACACTCCCCGCATCCTAATGCCAGAACAAAGGGGGAGGACATAATATCTCAGGAGAGTTCTTAAATAAATTTAGTTTTGTGAAGTTCCTGCTCTGTGGTTATTTTTCTCATTTCTTCAGCTGCTACCCATGAGGACTTGGATCAGTGTTAGGTGATCCTTTGCCCCCATGTCCTATTGTAGTTGTCTTCCGAATAACGTAGTGTCCTTTGTGGGCATCTGCCTGTGTGCTGCACTAGGCCCAGAAATACTGGGTGCTACTTTGGTGATTGAATGTTCTAACTCTGTAGTTACCCTCTAGGGCAGAGTTCTCAAGCTGGGGCAATAATACCTATCCCTGTCCTGGGGGTGGCCTTCTGGTTATCACTGTTAGAGTTGCTATTTGCATTAGTTCCTAGAGGTCAGATACGTCAAACAGCCCGCCACATGGGGATAATATCACAAACACAGAAAGTGCTATAGAAATAGGTACAAGTGATCACTGGTACTTCAGCAGCAGATAGGTGATGCCGCCAGCCTGCTGTGTGAATGCTAGGAGGTCCCAGTCAATTTGATTGAGATAAGGGAGACCACATAACTAGACAGAGCAAGGGTAGAGGAGAGTAGTAGATGATAGCGGCCTAGTGAAGGGCCAGATAACATAACCCACCAACGGAGGCTTCGGTAGGTGCAGCGAGACACTAGAAAGGGGAAATTTGGACACAAATGAGGAAACCACTAAGTTATTGTGCCAGAGTGCTTGGTCTTTTCATCCACATAGAATGGCTAAAGGGGAGAGGTTAAAATCCAGGTGAGAATAGTCTAGGGTTCTTTTTATTTATTTATTTATTTTTTTAAATATATTTTATTGATTTTTTACAGAGAGGAAGGGAGAGGGATAGAGAGTCAGAAACATTGATGAGAGAGAAACATCGATGAGCTGCCTCCTGCACACCCCTCACTGGGGATGTGCCCGCAACCAAGGTACATGCCCTTGACCGGAATCGAACCTGGGACCCTTCAGTCCACTGAGCCAAACCGGTTATGGCCTAGGGTTCTTTTTAATGTCATCAAAACTTGAAAAATTGTGTGACCATGCATATGTTGTTTTGAACTGTTAGGTAGAAAATATCACAAGAACTTTATGCCAGATTACTATTTTAATTTATAGATTTTTCAAGCAAGGGGAAAGGAGAGAGAAAAACATCTATTTTTTGTTTCACTTATTTATGCATTCATTGCTAGATTCTTGTATATGCCCTGACCAAGGATTGAACCCGCAACCTTGGTGTATTGAGATGACACTAACTCACCGAGCTACCTGGCCAGGGTGCCAAATAACTTTAATCGAATGTCATACATGATAGGACTAAGGACAATAGGTTCTCTCCCCCATTGGAAACACTAGTTAGCAAACAGCTAATTTATCTTCTAGGCTTTTTTTTCTTTTACATAATTAAGGAAACTATAATTTTAATTTGCTTTTTTTCCTTTTATGTTATGGTACAGTAGCTTCATAATATGCCATCTAGATGTGTAGGACATAGAGCCTTATCTATGTGACCAGCACTGAAGGTCAGGAATGTCCAATCCATAGAACTGCCCCAGGAGAGACCTGTGTGTGTGTAAAATATATTTTTGAAAAATACATTTTTTTTTTAAAAATATATTTTTTATTGATTTTTCACAGAGAGGAAGGGAGAGAGAGAGAGAGAGAGTTAGAAACATCAATGAGAGAGAAACATCGATCAGCTGCCTCCTGCACATCTCCTACCGGGGATGTGCCTGCAACCCAGGTACATGCCCTTGACCGGAATCGAACCTGGGACCCTTCAGTCCGCAGGCCGACGCTCTATCCACTGCGCCAAACCGGTTTCGGCGAAAAATACATTTTTATTGATTTCATAAAGGGAGCGAGAGATAGGAACATGAGTGACCTGAGCCCCCAACCCAGGCATGTGCCCTTGACTGGAATCGAACCTGGGACCCTTCAGGCTGCAGGCTGATGCTCTATCCATGGAGCCAAACCAGCTAGGGCAAGGCTCTCTTTTTGTCCTGTTGTCCTGGCCCTCTCCAGTATCTGTAAAATCCTTGCATAGTATCTTCAAGCTGTAAGGTGGTGTGGTATAGCTGAAAAAATGCTAAGCTGGAACCGCCACAATTGTTCTCACTTCTGTGCTTCCTCTGTTAGAATGGTGACAAGGAAGTTAACAAAGCCAATTGCAGCTTTCCTGGTCTCCAGAGCAGGCTGGACTGTTGGATTTTGTATATAACCCTTTTTCCTGCAGTTTAACCACCTGCTGGTCCCAATCTGTCAAACTCCACACATGCTGAGGTGCTTCAGCCAACGGTGGGGAAAGACCACAACGTGTAGGCTGCCAGAGAGGTCTGAGTCCTGAAGGGTTAAGGCCTAGGCTTCCTAGGTGAATGGTGAGGTTGGGGCCCAGAAACTACTCACAAATAGTTTAAGCTGCCAGCCACTAGGGACCTAACTGGTGCCTGGGGGTACAGAACCACTTTCAGAGCAGCTTGTTATGGAAACCACAGTTTGTGGTTGTCAAAGGGGAATCCAACCTAAGGCACCTGGGGGCACCGGGAGGACTTGAACTTGACTATGTTCAAGACGCAGGTACGGGAAAGCTTAGGACACAAGTACAGATGGTTCTTTTTCACAGGTCTGAACGAAAAGGAGTTGTGATTGTACCAATTGAGGAACTTAAGTAACTTGCTTTTAAGATGTTGTGTAATTATATTTGTCACTTGATTTTATTTGCTCTGTTATAAATGTCCCTTAACTAGTCTGAAAGTAGCTGGAAAGGCAAAAGCATTCAGCAACTTAAGGAGAAATGATGTTCTAGACTCCCTCAGTGACCTGTGAACATATGCTTTGACAAGTCTTTCAAACCTTTTAACACCATGTTGGCAGTCTAGAAGTATTTTCCTATAGTGTATTTCTGTTTTTTTGCTTTTAAAGATTGGTTCTGCTCAAACATATGGTATATCATAGTGGAAAAGATTGCAGCGTTTGAAATTTAGGCTTCTCAAATCCCTTACAGGTCCCTGGCAGGTAGGATTGGCTTATATTTTATGAAGACTTCCACTAGCGGCCATCTGGCCCTTCTTCC